CAAATCAAAAAAAAAAAAAACAAATAACTGTACTTGTTTACAAAATTTAATTTCAATACAATTTTATTCCTTTGATTATACTTCCCATACAAACATCAGAAATCGAAGACTACATACCCTTTAAAACGAGGCATGCCGGGTTATGATGGGAAAAGGTTTTCAAATGACGAATAGAAAATATGAGAAGGCGACAAACTTTACTTCGAATAGCTTATACCCTTTGCTAGAGTATAGCATTAAGCTTTATAAAAAGCTATTAAAAATGTCATAAAGAACACACACTCACACACACATGAGGCGTTAGGAAACTACCCAAGAATATATATATATATATATATATATATATATATATATATATATATATATATATATATATATATATATACATATATATATATATATATATATAATATATATATTCATAATATAGATTTGAGAGGCGCGGCCGCGATAAGCCTTGTGACGTGTCGCGGTACACGCGCGTGTGCTCCCATATGATCTTGGAGGAGCTTGACTTGGCTTTGAAAGTCTAGTGGAAATAATAATTTTATCAGCTGATATTGAATAAAAAAGAAGGCTGAAAATCTGCTACAATTACATAAGTGGCAACATCTATCAAAGTATGGGTAACATGCATGGAGAACGTGAAAAGTTGATCAATAAAATGCTAATCAATCATAATAGGTGCTATACCAAAAAGTTAATCAATGGATCGCATCGTAAATAATAATCGAAACACGCGTCGTAATTTAAATGCAAAATTAATGGAGCGTAAACCGATTGAGAATTACACTATGCCACTCAAAGAACGCGCAGCGCCGCTAGGGGAGAACGTTAGAAATTGACATCATTTAATAACGGTCAAGAATCAAACACTTGACGACGACGACGCCGACGTCGATGACAAAGACGCTGAAGTTCGAACTTTGGACCTGCTCGAGACACAGATACAACCGATTTAAACAGTGTGACGACGACATCAATGGTGTTGCATCGTAGCGAGCAGACGGAGCATACTCACGTTTTGTATGAGTTCGATATGCAACAGTTTGTTCGAACATGCTGGAGCGTGTGCTCAAACGCACATGTTGCAAACGGACCGCCACGCAGATCAAAATTCGTCGTTGGGGGAAAGTCAGCGTCAGCCACCAGCAATAACAACAAGCATAAGAACAACATTCTTATCAGATCCAAATTTCTTCACTCTCCCACTCTCTCATTGCTTGAGTAATAGAAAATTGCGCATCATTTATTGTGTCAGGCTTTTATATCGCTGTTATCAAAACAGCAGCACAACAATACGCACTCTCTCTCTCTCTCTCTCACCTTTTTTCGAAGCTCGCACAAGTCCAGGCGAGAACGGACCGAACCTAGGCAAGCAGCGCCGCAGCAGAGGCAACAGTAGCCTTTGCGGTCGTTGGCTACCCTGCATCGAATTATTCATACGCAGACGTTCTGACTGCACGGATCGAACCAAAAAAAAAAAGCTTGCAAACCATTTGGACAAGGAGTAAAAATAAAAGTGTTGAATATTTTAAAACAATTAAACAACAAACTGAAAAGAGTAAATAAAATATATATTAAAAAATATAATATATATACATATATATATTTAATATATATAAAACTGATTGTCATGCCCATTGGAAAAGTGAAAAAAGTTCACATGGTGAAATAACTAATTACTAATTAATAACAATGAATATTTTGTGAAAATGATTTGAACAATCAATAAAAAGTCAATCAAATAAATTTACAAAAAAACAAATTGAGAAACTAAAATTATTTATAATTAATTACTTTAAAGGATTGCTTCGAGTGGTGAGTTATATAAGTTTTTTTTTCAATACTTTTCTTTTAATAATACAAAAATAATAAATTTGAACAAATTACTAACAAAGCTTAAAACTTGACAGCTGGCTAAATATTTTTTTCTTTTTTTTGGCTAAATATATAACAATCGCATGCTAATCGCTTTGGCGTGTGCTGGATCTTAAAAATACAGATAAATATAATAAAAAAAAAAAAAAAAATATATATATATATATATATATATATATATATATATATATATATATATATATATATATATATATGTATCAAGTAAAAACGGAATGGTATACGAAAAAATGTGGAATGTATATTAGAAAATATTGAAATGATAATTTTAATATATATTTCGATTATTAAATAGATAGATAGATATACAAATAGTTGCTTGCACATGAAAGTAACTTTAACATTTCTCATTTTCAATTCTTTTTTTTTTTTTTTTCATATATTCAATTATTAATCATTTTCATATCAAGCTAAGAATCTCTCATTAACATGCCAATTCTAATAGACTAGCCTAGTATACAAACACTTGAGTGATTGATTGATTGATTGATGAGTGTGCAACATTGAGACAGCGTCGCCATCTTGAATATAGTACCGCCACCATGTTGGCGAACATAACCTCAAACAACCTTCAGCGTATTTGGGCAAACGTGTGCAAAAATACCAAGAAAAAGTGAAAGAGGGAAAAAAAATGTGGGGCTTATATAAGATTTATCGTAGTGATTTATATATTTGATGTGGAATGCCACGGGAATTCTTTAGAAAAGTATTTCGAAATGTATTCAATGGATTTTCGCTGCCTATAAGCCAGCGAATCGGAGCAATCTTCCATCGTGTACGATTCCAAAGTTCACACTGGGGCATGCTCCAATACGCTGATCGCAGTACAGCGCGCATTCAGCTAGAGAGCCAGAGCGAGCGAGATAGAGAGACTGAGTGAACGTGTGAGTGAGTGAGTGCGAGTGAGAGGGAGATAGAGAGAGACACAAGGCGTTAAGATTACTTTACCAAAAATAAAACACACAAAAAACGTCAAGCCAAAACAGAAAGATTTCTGCTGCAGTACATTCAACTGCAGCTCTGCTGCATTGCCGCACTGACATTAAGTGTTGGGTATCACAGCGTTTAATGATACGGCGCCCAGGCATGGAAAACCCCCAGAAGTTGGCGTTGCCAATCTTCATGTGTACTTTGCACCCAGTATGCAACTCTCACGACGCAACCCGCAACTCACAACTCCACTTCCAACTTCTGTTTATGCTCTCACTCGCCCCTCTCCCTCTCTCTCTTTCTCTCTTTGACTTTAGTCTGCGTGTGTGTGTGCTGCGTTGACTGCATCACGTTTTGCTTGCGTGTTCAATGACGTCGACAACTTGTTTGACAGCGACGCAACGCCCAGCGCTGCTCCATTTAATGACAGTGTCGCTTCGGCGCGTAACCTTCTTCGGCTCAGCCACTGCCGCTGCCTCTGGCTCTTCATCTGGCGCTGCCTTAGCCTCTGCTTGATGCGTTCGCACGCCTCTGATTGGCAGCTCATTTGCAACTTGTTTGATTTGATCTGTTTGATACCCTTTCCGATGATTATCTTAATCGAACGTTACGTCAAGTAATGCAGGGCGCACGTCACGTGTTGCTACTATTAATGTTAATGTTGTAATCGACGTCATTTTCTATTCTGGAAAAACACTTAAAGATCATCATTAAATATGACCTGATCATAATTAAGTTTTATTTCTTTAAAGGGAAAATGTTTTGTAATACTTTATAAATTTTACCTCGTCAGATCTCTTGCATACTTTTGGGAAGAGCAAATAGTTGGATAAATTATTGATAAGTAGGCTACAAGATATTGTGATCTATATATGAAATAAATGTATATACATATTTTGTATATTATTGAAACACGAAACAGTTTGTAGATAAAAATGAATTTATTCAATTATTATAATCAAAATTTGGCCTTACTATTTAGAAAACGATCTTGAGCTCATTATATGACCTCTTTCTATCTCTCTCTCGCATACGCTCTCTCTTTCTGTCTATGCTGAGATAACATAAAATAAAACTTTGCTGATTTATTTTTTGCCAAGTCTCACGTACACGTTTCTTAACTTGGCTGATGAAATTTATATCTAAAAAAATCGACTTGAAATAGCTTCTCTTAAATTGGCAATATATAAGCCATATATAGTATATCTGCAGTATATAGTACATATATATTTACATATTTGGCGTAACAAGGTTAATTAATTCGAACTGGATCATTAGCTATGCGCCTGTTGCTGTTTCCGTTTCTTAATCGCAGCATAATCAGTTCGATTAGCTCAGCTCTCGGTGCAAAGTGATTAAACATCAATCATACAAGCAATTATAAAACAGTTATGATTGTATATGTGCATCATATAAGTAGCGTTAATTGTGATTTGAACTATTATATATATTCATATATACATTCATATATACATTCATTCATACATCCATACACAGAGCGAATTATGTGACATATTCCATGTGGGCATCATAAAAATAATCTTTAATTTTATTCACTTTTTTGTGGTTTTTTATTGCGAATTGAGCAATTTGGCGCTTATCAGCCATGTTAAGTGATTGACACACATGCTGATGGACAATCACAGCGTGTCTGATTCAATCCGAACATATTAAAATATTAAAATATTGGTCAAGCCAGCCAGCAGGTGCAAAAAAGACCAAAAATAATCAAATTGAACGGAACCAAATAAATTAACTTCACAATTTATGCAGATTGATTTTCATTTCTCTTTGCTTTATGCACAGCTGCTGCTGCTGCAGCGTCGACGTCGCAGTCGACGTCTTCTTAAGCTGATGCAATGGACAGAATATTTGCATATGAATTTGTCTTGTCTGCAGCGTACCACGGCCAAAGAGCACAGGGGGGCGGGCCAGCCTGGCTGTGGGAAAAACGAAACGAGCGAACGAACGTTCAAGCGAACGTTTGTGTCGCGTTCGTGTGCCGCCTCGTGTCATACGAAGCGACGACGCGTCGACTGCGCTCTCTCGCCTGCGCTGTCTCCGTCTCTCTTTTGTTCGCTGTTCGACAGCGATCAATCAATTGCAGCGAAGACATAAAATGTTCTACTAATCAGACAGGCGGCTCATTCATTCACAACTCGTTTGCGCTGTCGCATGGCAAGAACTAACAGCAAAGTAAACACAAAATTCAGCAAAAAATACGAAAAGAAAGAATTTGCGTTGAATTTCGATTCGTGTTTCGTATTTCGTATTTCGTGCTTCGTGTGTTTCGTGTCCGGGTTCGCAGCTTGTCTTGACCCCGGCTGGTTCCACTGTAAGCTGCTCTCTGGCTACGTGACGAAGTCAATCAAATTATAAGTTAATGAGCTCTAACGGTACGTGTGGTCCCTATTTTCAATTAATTAATTGCCTGCTCAATGCGGCGTATACGTGATGCATACGTCTCATGCAATTCAGCTTAATCGCCTGCGCCTGCACCATTGATCGATGCAGGCGCAATTTATTAATTTTACTTTTAGTACACACTTTCGGTGCGCAGTTTCCGAGCTGCGACGATAATGCCAATTAAATATTAGTTTTTATTTATTTTTTTTTATATTACTGCAATTTTAATTGCAACGTTTGAAAACGATCAAAATCAAATCGAAATTCGCCTGCACTTTGCCGCGTGTCTGATTGGAAAATGGGTTTTTTATGCCTTGGAAAAGTGATGTAATTCGAATAGAATATTTATACATTGGCAATATAATTGAACTTTTAATTGGGGTTTTTTCGTAGCTCTAGAATTATCTATGAAGTAGCTGAAATAATATAAATTGAGTAAAACTTGAAAATCTTAGGGAAATATTTTTCTAATATTTCTAGTTATTTATTTATTTAAAAATTTGTCATTTATATTTTAAAACTTGATTATTAATATTTTTTTAATATTATTTGTTTACACTTCTCTTGTTTCATTTTAATTCTAAATATATATATTATTTATAAATTTACCTAATTCAAATTTTTTATATTTATTTTAATTTCTTTAAAAATATTTTCTAAAAATGTTCTTCGACCTTTCTCTACTTGCAGCTATTAAAAACTAAAAGTTTGACTTAAATCTGCAATCCACACTATGCAGCATAGATTGAAATAACCAAAAGATATAAGAGAAATATTGAAAACGAATTGAGATTAATAAATAATTACAAAAAGTGCAACAACAAGTTAACAAAACGGCAACAATTAGTGCGCAAAGCTGCAAATCTATGAGTTTTGTAAGCCAAAGGACTACGAACATTGAGTTTCAATTGCTGCCGAACAGATAACAATAAATAAAAGTGTTTTTTTAAGGCCAAATAACGCGTTTCGATTAGAGCCAAGTTTTGTTAAAGAATAAAGTCGAAGATGGCCAAGTACTATATGACCCTGGCTCTGCTGCTCTGCCTGGCCTTAGAGAACAACAACATCTATGCGCGCTCGCATCCCGGTGGCTCGGACGAGGCAGGCAGCCTGCCTCTGGTGCGCGCTCATCCGCATTCGCGGCATCAGCCGCATCAGCATTCGCAGCACCTGCAGCACCAACACGTACAGCAGCTGCAGCAGCATCACACACGCCAGCAACGCGATCGTCAGCCGAAACGCATTGCCCCGGATCCGACCAGCGAGGAGGAGGAACTGAATCAGCTTCACTACGAGCAGCGACTGAGGCGGCATCTGCGCAGGCAGCGCGAGCATCAGCTGGAGCAGGAGCGCAGCTATCATCGCGTCTCTGCCACACAGCTGAAGACCAGTCCCAAGCTGTGGCAGCTGCTCAGCCAGGGCTATGAGTTTGACGACAAGGAGCAGGAGCAGGATCAGGACCAGGAGCAGGACCTCTCTGAGATTTTTCCGCCTATGTCCAATGATGCGCCCGCTGATGAGCTGATGCAGAACGAGGATCCACAGGACTTTATTCGCAACGAGCTGCAGCTGAACTTGGCCGAGCCAGCACCACCAGTTGTTCTTGAGGATGCCACTGCAGCTCATAATGCCAGCAGCCATACCAATGGCACAGCCTCGAGTGGCTGCCCCAAGTGCGAGAGCAATCGCCAAGTGGAGCACATCACGGAGGAAGAGCTGCGACGTCTTCGCATCGAGTTTGTTAAGCAGCAAATTCTCGAGAAACTGCGCCTCAAGGAGAGTCCCAATGTGTCCGCCATCGAGCTGCCACGCCCCATTTTCGAGGGCGTCACGCTGCAGCATACAGAAGAATCCAACAAGAACAAGGACTACGATGATTACTACGCGCGCACCAATCAGAAATTTATACTCCTTCAAAGAGGTAAGTTTGACAAAAAAAATTGTAAATTTTAGATATTAATTTAATTTGGAGCTGGAAATAGAGAATAGTTCCCTAGAGGTATACTTGAAATTTTTCCTTAAAAGTATTTTTTCTATATTGATCTATCCCTACTAGACCCCAAAGAAAGACACTATAGAGTGGAGAGATATGAGTAGAGAGTAGAGAGCAGATAGAGTAGAGAGGGTTGAGATAGTAGAGAGAGTAGAGAGAGTAGAGACGGTTGAGAGAGTAGAGAGAGTAGAGAGAGTAGAGAGGGTTGAGAGAGTAGAGAGTAGAGAGAGTAGAGAGAATAGTGAGAGTGGAGACAGAAGAGAGAGTACAAAAAATATTTAGAGTATAGAGAGTAGAGAGAGTTTAAAGAGTATATAGAGTATTTAGAGTATATAGATTATTTAGAGTATATAGAGTATATAGAGTATATAGAGTATATAGAGTATATAGAGTATATGGAGTATATAGAGTATATAAAGTATATAGAGTATATAGAATATATAGAGTATATAGAGTATATAGAGCATATAGAGTATATAGAATATATAGAGTATATAGAGTATATAGAGCATATAGAGTATATAAAGTATATATAGTATATAGAGTATATAGAGTATATAGAGTATATAGAGTATATAGAGTATATAGAGTCTATAGAGTATATGGAGTACATAGAGTATATAGAGTAGAGAGTAAAGAGAGTAGTAGAGAGGAAGTGAAGTATAAATATATGATTCATTGAGCATATCAATTTGACTTTCTTTATTATAGAAGAAACCGAGTGCCGTCGCTTAGGCGCGCATCCTTCGATGTGCTTCAGCTTTAAGATTGACGATATGGATGCGGATGGCTTCGATGTGAGCAGCGCAGTTCTGTGGCTCTACAAGAACAAGCAGAACTACACCAAGTCGAGCAACGAGAGCCAGTCGAACGGGCAGCAGCAGAAGCAGCAGACGCTGCTTGTATCCGAGGTGGAGCAGCAACTTGACTCCAAGTATTTGCCATTGGCCAAGACCATAGCCATACAGTCGGTGGACGTGCAAGGTAAGCGAGAGAAGCCGATTCGTATTCGAAATCTAATTAGAAATCTCAAGAATATGTGGACTAGAATAATGGCGATAAGTGCTTGGTCCATTAGCAACTGTTTACGTTGAGCTTTTGGGCGAAAGATCATCGATAGGAGCGGCGTATGCAGGGGCCGCTGTCCGCTATCCGGGATTTGTGGGGGTGAATAACTTTTTGGCTACGAAATCAAAATATTTTTTTATGAAAGCCACAAGCTGAACTTTAGTCTCTCCAGAATTTTACCAGCTGTCGATAAGCTAAGCCAAGCACAACGCAAAATAAACAATAAATAAATTTATATATTTATATATATAGACGAAAATGTAATTAAGAATGGTGACTCAAGAGAAAAGCAAATGCTGAGCTAGCCCTGATGCAAGCACAGTTGCAATGTGTTAGATTTGATTACAGCCAAAAAGCAAAGTGCGAAAATAGAGCAGAGAAACAGTTAACAGAGGTATGTTAAGTGGCAGCTGTTAGCGAGGGCTGTTAAGGGCAGACTGTTGAGCTAAGGCTGTTAGGCAGAAGCTGTTATGGAAGAAGAGCTGAGAGTGATTCGGACTTGCCCATCCACACTATTCACTAATCTATCTGTAAAATATATATTAAACAACTTAATTTCTTCATATCCATTGCAGATGAATGGATGAAGATCAATATTGAATGGCCGATCAAGCGCTGGTTCGGCAATCACGATCTCAGCCATCTGATACAGATCACCTGCGAGTCGTGCGACATCGCGAGCATGGAGGAGATCATCTCGGTGAACAACAACTACAGACCGTTCATAATGATCGATACACAGAATCGACGCAGCAAATCCCGGCAGAAGCGCAACATCAACTGCTCGAGCGGCGTCACCGAATGCTGTCGGGAAAAGCTGTATATATCATTCGCGGACATCGGCTGGGACAACTGGATATTGCAGCCGAAGGGCTACGATGCCTACTTCTGTCGCGGCTCCTGCAGCTCCGTGGCGAGCGTTGCCCAAGCCGCATCGCATCACAGCTCATTGCTGGTGAGTTGCAAATGCAATTTCGATTCACTTGCAAATGCTAATTTGGATTTTTGACTTACAGAAAATCCTTTCAACAAATGGTACACGCAAACCCTTGGACCTGATACCCTGCTGTACCGCCAAACAGTATTCCTCGTTGCAGTTGGTCGTGCTGGACTCCAACAACTCGGCGACAATCAAGACCTTGCCGAACATGGTCGTTGAGTCATGCGGCTGCAGATAGTTACCAATCAAATGGCCGCTCCCTCTGCCACTCTCTTTCATCCCCTTCTAACTGTATCAAATAAGTCTCATGCAGCATCGAGAAGCAAGGCTCTCACAAATGAACGGACAAATTAGTACTAGTTCACACACACTCGCACACACACACACACACACATCATAGTTTAGCTGTAAAAGTTTACAAATTTAATTTAATTTCATTTTCCAATTCATCGGCATTAGTCGTAATTTAAATAATTTAAACACGCTGCCATTAGTCGTAGTCGCAATTAGTTAATTTGAGTTGAAGCTGTAAGCGTATGTACTTAAGCGCTCGAACTATGCCTAATCATATTCTAATTATATTTAATTAGCCAATAATTACATTCATCAATCGTCAATCAGCCAATCATCAAGACTTCATCTAAAATTATTGTCAATTAGCTGTACTTACTTTTGTCTAATGTGTTTTTAATGGCCTTCAGCACTTGGAAAAACATTAGAAAAGCAAATGAAAGAGCGCAGTCTTTGAATGGTCAAAGATTTAATAAACCTATAAAGATATGATTGCTTTTTTAACATAAAAACTTTATGGATATAGGAATATAAAATCAAATTATATTTCGGAATTGATCAACATTTGATGTTTCATTCAGAGCTATAAAAAGAAATATGCATATATAGAAAAATGTGTGATGGACATATATATATACATATATATATCTCGAAGTTCAGATGCTTGAAGATTTTTAAATGTTTCTTAAATTTAAAAATTTGCTAAATGAACTCGATGTTATCTATCATCGACATGTAGAAATACAATGCTAGACAGCAAAACTTGCGAAAACTGCCAATAGAGAGCGCTTTACATCACTTGCACATAGTTTCTATAGTCTTCTTTCAGGCTAAATATTTTTGGTTCAGTTTGTTAGCTACAGTTTATTAAATCTGACTCTCTAGCCTATTTAACAAATGCGTAGAGCAGTATGCCAGTATATAAATCTTCAATTCTAGACTTAATTGCTACTTATTCTATTTTATCTGATGCCGCGACGGTACGGAGTATGTAACTTCTTCAGACTTCGCCTGTTGTTGATAGCCAAATTATTATCCGCCTCTATCTTTCTTTCGATAGATTTGTCGATCAGTTGCTGCATTTTTGAAATTAAGTTTAATGCCATCATAATATATGAAGTTGAAAAGTCCAAGGACAATAGAATAATTACGCAAGAATTAATACTTCCTTAGTATAAATAGAGGAGCATTAAACTAAATGTTCTGAATTATTTCGGGAAATTTTAGTAAATTATTGCTATTATGTTAAAAAGATAAAAATTTCCATGAACAAGTATTCCGTAAATGCGTTTCTTTAAGCTCTGTTTTCCTTGATGCATATCGCCATCTATGTCTAAGTAACGTAAGCTTAATACGCACTGTATTTCCCTAAGACAGTTTAGCTTCTAACCGCGAGGTGTCGCCTCGGGTCATTGCGCACACATTTGCCTTGCGTATATACTATAAAAACAATATTTTGTGGCAAAATTAATCAATATGTAACAATTTAATTTCAAAATTGTGAAAAGACAAATAATTTATAATCAGAATTAAGAAATGACGGCAATTGCATTGCACATTTATTTCCCCTTGCTAACTTGCGCCATCTCTTGCTAAATAGCCAAAGCAAGCACATCGTAGTTGTTTTCATGACTGATTTGTAGTTCGCTCGAGGTTCACAAGGTGTCGCCACTAGCTATTGCGCATACGACCTGTACGCCAATTGGCATTGCAATCAAATAAATAATTTGAAATGAAAAAACGTCGCTGAAACGATACGAAAACCGTTATGCTGCCAGAGCCAGCGGATAGCTTGACGTAATCTACAGCAGCCATCTCTGTCGCACGCTTTTGACTAATTTTTTTTCGGCTCGGCTGGGAACAAAAAGTCGAGCGACAATTCGACAATTTCGCCGGCGCTTGGTGGGCGTAGAGCAGGAAATGGTCGATTTGTGTGCCATTTATAAAGCGCAACGAGCAGAGATCTCTGATGTGAATGCGAATGAGAATACATAAATAAGATATATATATATATATATATATATAGTTATATACATATATATATATATGCATGCTAGGCTATAAAAAAACCGTTGCATAAGTCAGGCAAATGCAACGACTAAAGTTGTTTCTATAGCTATTTCAGGCAATTAATGGCTATCAATAGCATTTGCTACAGTTCGAATAATACACTTGAAGAAAGGTTTGGCTGCAATATGTATTTTATCGCCATTTGCCAGTTTTAATAAGTTAAGATAATGAGGCTAAAAGCTTAGCATTTAATTTGGGGCATATTCAATTGGATTTCTTTTACTTGCTAACTGCATTTGTATAATTTCTCTCAGTGTACTTTAAGTAGCATGTGCATCCATTCATAAAATTCGATTCAATCATTGGCAGAGCGTGGGTAAAGCGCAATTGCCAAAGCCATTGCACTTTTTTGAATGCCTCATTATTGTCATTTGACACAAATTGGTTTTGTTTCCGCAGAGAATCGCTTGGAGACTCTGTGAGAAATGTCAGATTGATGCAGAAATTACTTTTAGCTAAATCCAGTTAGATGAAATATTTTATAGATTTTCATTCCTTAAAGCAATTGCAGTCTATCTTAGCTGGAGATAGAGTGGAATTAGATTTGAGTATATAAAGTAGACTAGACTAGAGTAGAGCAGAATCTTGACTGTCCAGCAATTTAGTTTATTATTTATGAAAGCAACTCACCTGATCACTAATGTTTGAATGTTTCCTTCCTTAAAGCTGCTTAAGATCGTTGTTAGTTCCTTGACTTCTGACTGTTGACTTTGCTTCCTGCCATTGGGCATCAAATACAGTTTTTATAACAAACAGATGCAAGTATATTTGTTATACTCTTAACCAATTTAGCTTACCCCAATTGACATAGATATATCTAACTGCTATATATAGTTGTGCCTGTGTTGCCAGCCGAGCATAAATTCTAAACTTCACGTCTAATGCTTCTCTCATACAGCAGATGTAACACTTCTCTATTTGCCACGCCTCTTTTTATTATACGACAGTAAAAAGAAGAATTGAAGAATTTTTATACATTTTTGTGGATTTAAAAATAGTTAAAATACTTAGAAAACTCAAGCTGCACATCTCATTGAATCAACTGGGATTGATTTATTATGAGAGTCACAGGGAAACGTTGTCAACTGTGATTCATACAGTTTTACTATAGACTTGATAAATGATGATAATAGAAATAAGAAGAGATCTCTTATAGGCTTAGATTACGTGCTTAGTTAGTTTAGAGTTGCTTGGAATTTAATGCCCTGTCAGCAGAGAGTTGTCCTTTCCATCGTTCGATGATGGTTTGATTAAGCAAGATTTCAATTCTTTATAGGATATTACAGATTGTAGCTAATGATGAACAATACGTTCAATAAAAAACTTTATGCTGATGAGTCACACAATATCCATAGATATATATATATATATATATTGTTGTCTGAAGATAAAGGCAAGTTGAGTCAAGTGAGTGAAATGTTTCTTCACTATTCAAACGGAGCTCAATAACGAAAGCACAGCAAATAAATTAAACAAACATCGAGACAAATCGCGCTGTCAACAGAAACTTTTCTCGCAAATGAAATATTAAACAGGAATTTCTGAAATACACAAAACTAGATACACACACACATACTATACACAAATATATAATCGATGCGTAAGAAATTCGATTTCAAGGCCAGAATATGCCCAAGCCAAGCAGGCGAGCAGCCCAGCAAATATACATTATTTATTGTTATTATTATTACTATTATTCTTGTTGGGGACTTTGCTTATTTTTGTTTAGCTGAAGATACTTTTGGGCACTGGCTCATCTATATGTGTGCATGTGTATGTAGAGAGAGAGAGAGATAACTGAAATTCTAAGCACACTAATTAGACAATGAAATGAGATACTTGAGTTAGATAAACTTCTATTGCTTCTGTTCATTTGCTGGCGGCAACGTTGCCTCAATTGAATGCTGAGACCTTTGGAGCAGGCACACACACACACACACATGTATAGTATAAACTCATATACAGCAGCATTCAATGTACATATTTAGGCGAGGCAGTCCGAAAGGCGAATGCAAACTAAACCATATTAGTAGCAAGTAATAATAACAACTAAACTGGCAGTCGAGCATAGCCGACTGCACTATGCCTGTTCACGATACAGAAACAACGAAATTTACTCTAAAATGTATCTTTTTGTATTATTTATATTCGTTTTTAGCTCGATCTGTAGAGAGGGTCTCTCTGTAGAAGAGTTTTCAAAGTGAGGAGGAAGCCTAACTATTTGTAGATGAGGTCTATCTGTAAGCGCTATACATATAGAGGTCTCTTTCGAGATTTATGTGTGAAGGAGTTATAAGCTGTTGAAGAGGTCTATCTGTAGAAGAGGTCCACCTGGAAGGAATGTCTGCAGAGAAGGTCTACTTCTACAGACGGACTAACTGCACTGGAGGTCTTTCTGCAGAGGAGGTCTTTTCGAAGAGAGAGTCTGTATGTAGAGAAGGTCTATCTGCAGATGAGTTCCAACCTGTAGAAGAGATACATGTAGCAGACTCTATTTCTAGGCAAGTTTTATCTGCAAAGGACGTGCTTCTTTAGAGCAGCTGTGATCATTCTGCGAAACTAGTTTTTGCTGCCTCTCAAACTGTGGAACAAGTAACTTATAGTAGTATAGTAACTATATATAAGAACTTGACATCTTATCAGCTGCTCAATCTCTAATACTCAAATATATATAGATAATCCAATTGCCTGGACTCTAGCTTTTCAGCTGGTGCCAATATGCACTGCTGACTTGAACGAGCACAAATAATAATAATAGTAGTAGTAATAGCAACAAATTGAGCTTGGCTACAGCCGAAGGTAGCCTCAGTCGCTGTGCAGCAACTGTAAAGTGCGCTCAGTGTCAAAGGAAATCATATTTCATCTGGCAATTAGAGCCGATAAACCGTGAATCTTTTCCATTTTAATTGCTTCACTTGGTTTCAGGTTTCTCATGGATGTCTGTACGCTATATATATATATATCTGGCAGCAGACATATGTACACTGAGCATAATCAGTGTCTTCAAATTCAATTAGGCGAAATTGTGTCACGCGCGTGTTTGGCCACTTCTCAGTGAACTGTTGGGTATTATTCCTATACTATAGCTGGTATATACTATATAGAGTATTTGACTAATGGGGTATATTACAATGAGCGTCTGTCTGTGCGTCTTACTCTGCACGGAAGTAGCTGCACTGGGCGTATTAGCTCTTGAAGTATGCAGAAGATATCAGGCATAAACATGTGTGCAAAATATATATGATTATAGATTGGTATATTGGATAGATATAGGAATATAGTATAGAATATAGTCAAGTAGTGCAGCCTTAGTTCAGCTAGCTTTGGCAATTATACTGTCTATATATATAGACACTTGCCTAGCACTGGAAACG